TTGTTTAACCCTGTAGGAGTTAGTGATATAACTGAATAACTGAATTTCCTTCGGGCAGCTTTGTTCTGCTTAATGGTTATCAAAATGAGGTGCGCATTTACGCTGTGGTTGACCCGTCTGCCTTCCGAAAATTACGTGCAGTGATGACTAGTCCGCAGCATTCATTGCAGGTTTTGTGCGTGACTGCTTCCAGTTAGGTCACTGTCCCTTAAATCGTAAACAGGAAACTGATGTTTCACCGGGCTCCGTTCTTCACATGTTACGTCTGCATTCTGGGATCTAGGGCGCCGACGACGATAAGCTAAAGTAATTTTCGAGTTTGTTGTGCCCTGGCATGCACGGTGTCTGGAAGAATGCCGTGACCCTGGCCCGTCCACGCCGCCTTCGCCACCGGGCGCCGCCGAATGTCATTGTTTTGTCGCCAGGCGGTAGCAGCGGCGCGACGCGTGATGTCGTCCGGTGACGGGCCCGGAGGCCCGGCGCCCGGCGGCCCCCCATCCGACGAGCTGGAGCTGATCACGGTCGGCTCCGGCAACGGCGACCCGAGCCGCCACCCGCCGCAGGCGCAGAAGGTAAACTGCGTCTGGAGGCTGTCGCCAATGCACGAGGCAAGTGGGCGCTCACGCTTGGGTGCCGTTTTCGACTCCATTCGTCTGGCGGTGGTGGATCTGTGGGCGGCGGTGCGGCTCGTGTATGTATGCGGATGCGTGCGCTCATCCGGCGGGGTCTGCTTAATCATTACGCGACGCTTGCCGCTGCACACTAACTAGAAGCAGCTTTGCAGGACAGTAATGTGCTTAATATATGCATGATGTGATGAACATTTTAACTGTGTGTGAAGAGTAAGTGTGGGTTTAACGTGACATTTGTGGGTTGAAGGCATGCATTTAACTTCCTGATGAAGACGTGGCTGGCGTTGTCGTCGTTTTTGACCACTACTTTGCGGACACAACCTTTGAGAAGCGGACAAAAAAGGAGCGGGCCGAAGATCCTGGGAGTTTGTGTCAACGGTCTCAGGCCATATGATTTTAACGTTAGACGTTTAGAACAGGCCAGACATTTTGAACCCAAAATTATGTGCAGATGTGTCCGCCGTAAAACATGACATCAGATAACGCTAAGTTGCGCTCATTCATATCGAGCAAACAGTGGGCATTGCTTGACACACTTGGCGAGAAATAAACCAACCGCCTGTCGCTATATCGATGATCGTTTTCATCTCACACTAGTTGTGCTTTAAAGATGATTATTTCCACGCATCATAATATTGTACCGGTGCACGCAACGTGTGGGACAATCATCGTTGCCATCTGTCACTTCGACTGTCTCACTGGGCCGATGACACATGGAGTAGACCGAAATTAAGCAGCATTGCCCTTTGCTATTTAGGTGACTTCCAAGAAAACCGGAAAATGAGTTCGTTTTTAGATGGCTCACCTCGGCTCTTCAGGACCACATCCCTGCATGATTGGGGACAGAACAACTGGCGTTAAGCAAAGCTTATATGCGTGAAAACCAAATGATTCATGCCCAGACATAATAAAGTCGCTAGAAAATGGTGGCCGGGATGACTTGAAATGTTAGAAATAACTAGTTCTACCGTCCGTCGGCTGATGATCGTATTCCACAAGGCTTGCGAATAGTTAAGACAGTGTTAATAACCTTTTTCCTCGTAGAATAACCAGCAGAATTAACAGATACACATATATATATATATATATATATATATATATTATGTATGTTCATTCTGTTTTCTACCGGCAATAAGGTTATTAATATTGTGTTATGTATATGCATAACGTTTATCGCAAATGCACTTAATAACTTACGTTAATACCTGCAAACTATCCAGATAAAATATACGGTCGATTTGAGGTGGTAATTTTTATTGTACAACATGTCGAATGATATGACTAATGAATTAATGTGTCATGTTGTGTTTGGTCAATTGTGACTGGTCATTTTACATCACGGAGCGGGCCCATAGAAGAAAGAGGATTAACAGCATGCAAGGGGAACGATTTTAAGATATATAAATCCTCAAAGCAAAAGACAGCGTTCAAATTCGCCACGCGTCGCCGGTACATAGTTGGTCTGAGTCGTTTGCATTAACAGCACTCCATTCAAGAGTTACTGATTCGTTGTTTGACGAAAGTTGCGCAGGTGTTCTAAACTGTCTTGCGCGCTTTAGCGTCTTTATTGGTCGTCTAGCGTTGCATCTATAATAGCCGCAAAGATGATGTTCAAGTATTTTGAGCAGCATATTAGCAACAGGACGAACATCATTCAATTTGTACGGCATTAATGCGTCCTATGGTGTCATTTTATGCTGGGTTAGATGTTACTCTTACTTAAGTTATCACTTACATTGCTCCTCTTGGATGCGCGTTTTCAACGTGTGCATTTGGTTATGTCAAATAGCATACTCTGTAGATTCATGAATTGGTATCAGTGTGGATTCTGCCAATGGGTTAAAGTGACCCGCAATGTTGAACTGCTCTTCAGATGACCGTTCATAGCTGCATGTCTTTGGTGCGGGATGTGACGTCAAGTCGCCTGAGTATAGAATAGCATCGTGTGTGACCCCGCCAACGCGGTTGATTGCCTTATGATAATGAATTGGTTGTCCACAGTATCTGCCTGACCAGTACTTTCGAGATGGAATAAGGAAGATCGATTTTGTTCTGGTGCGAACCAGCACCAAAGAAGATGACTGTGATATCAACCACGAGTCGCGCCACGGTGTATATGAGGAGAATTTGGTGCGTGGTGACGGCACGGTTCGCTGTGTCATTTATCGTGATCATCTGATATTTTCTTTAAAAGAAGTGTTGTGTGTGTATTGGTTAAGATTGTTCAGCATGAGAGAGTAATTAACGATATGTAAATGTGTGATGGAAGCCTGGGGTATCGTGCTTCGATGGCACGTGCCGTTCAATTGTTGATCAGGAGGCATGTTTAGTAGCAGTCAACGGCGTGTGGATAGTTGGTGTGCGCTCATCAAGCCTTCAAGCACAGCTGGCGGCGCCGATTGCAATGACTAATCCCACTTGCCACGGCCGAAGGTCAAACCAAGCGGACCCTTTCGTACGCGTCCGTTGCGTGTGCCTAGCCTACACCTGTTGACGCAACTGGTCCAAACGATACCACGTGTTCACGTGCCATATGTGCAGAGGCCGTGCAGGATTGGGCGGGTATTGTCACCGTCCCGCCCGAGGCCCGGTTCTGAGATGGGTCTGGGCGTGTGTCCATATAAGCGGTCCGCTGGTCTGTACAGAGGAAGGAGGGTCTCCACCTCGAGGAGGACACAATTGACGAGAGCAGTCCGCTGACCTTTGTCAAGATACACACGCCATGGGAGGTGCTTCGGCGGTATGCCGAGATCCTGAAGGTTCGGATGCCGATGAAGGAGGTGAGACCGGTGGGGTTCCAGTGTGTGTGTGGGGGGGGGGGGGGGGGCGTTAGCCGACGCGCGTGGGGATGGGGGAGCTGGCCGCAGCAGCTCATAGTCTCTAGCCTTGAAAGTGCGCCTTATTCTGCAGGCGAGTGCAGCAGCACGTGCTGACCAACACAGTGACTCATACGGCCGTGCCTGCCTTGCCGCACATGAGTCCATGGCCTCTTCACTTATTCAGCAATGGTAGAGAGTGTGATCATGGGTCGAGCTATGGGCGAACTGCTGAAAGCCTTCAGCTGATTGCGCTGCTCCTGCTGAGCTGCTTGTCTGACGTACAGTATTTTCGGACGTCGATGCATGATATCTTTGCGGACTGATAGTGCAGTCGGTAGCGGCCGGGGATGTGTGTTCGGCGGCATTCGTTGTGCGCGGCGTGTTGGTGCGCTGGCGGCGGCGGCCGTGCGCGCTGACCGAGATCGTGCGCGCAGCCGGCCGGACTGAGCGCCGACGAGGACTTCCTCAAGAAGGTGCCCGTCATCCGCGAGATCACCACCCTCGTGGACATCGTCGACAAGGGCATGTTCGGCGTCAACCCGAGGAAGTTCCCGCCCAAGAACAAGTACCTGACTGGTGTCTACAGCAGGGACCGAGAGTACCTGTGAGTTGTGGAGCCGTCGTCATCTGGGTGTAATATGAGCGTGTTGGCGCCGTGGTGTAGTTAGGACGGTTTGAAGCCAGGGCTTGCCAGACTGGCATGAGCCAGGTTGAGCCGCTCTTCCACTAAAGAGTGGAGTTTTCAGCGCTGAGTACACGCCAGCTGATCACAGACAAAACTCTTGCACATCCTGTACCGCATTGCACTGTATTCCTGCGCTGTACAGTTATGCGTGATTTGATGTCCTCTTTTACAACCGTCAAGCCAGTTTTGTATTCTTGCGCGAGTACGTGGTAGAAGCGCAGTTCTTTTCAGCTCATTCTAGCTGATTCCATTGAAGGCATAGCCTACTTGGTTTGAGCTAGCTTATCCCAAGGTCAGTCTGCAGTAGTGTCCCAATATTTGGCCACTTAGGTGGCAGGGATGTCAACAATGTGCATGCTGTACACCCCGGTTTGGGTCTCACTGCCTGCCGCCCCTCCCATGGCTCAAAATCAGCCAATCAGCATCGAGGCTGTCAACCCAGTATCTAAGTGCCTCAGGCTTGACAAATGGACCGGTCAGGTCAGATGTCTGGGTTCGGGGTGAAAGGGCGACAGATTAGTGCCAACGAATTGTGGGGCCGCCGAAGAGCCAGAGTTCTTGTAGTACGAATTCATATTTTTCTCCTGCACATCCTACTGGATGAATTTTGGAACTCTGCTATGCGGACTTCTTCATGTTGGGTTGTTGTCAGCTTAGCTTAAACATTGCGTAGTGCACTGCTATTTTTCACGTTTAACGAGGTGCACATTTAAATGCGACCATGAGCAGACCTGTGAAGGCATGTTGGCGGCCGCGTGGTAAGCGTTGCCTCGCATATGCACTTCCTCGTTAATTCTTATATTTCTTGTCACAGGTTTGACATGTCTGAAGACTTTTTCACCCCGGCTGTTCGCGCGCGCGTGGTGTCTTTCATTTTGAAGCGGAAGTGGTTTGTAAAGCAGGTCACCACCCAGCAGCCAAAAATGGACTTCGGCATCGACAAACTGCTGTCGGACAAGACGTATTTGGCCAGCTACGCCCCGCACGAGGTGAGCGGCGGCGGGCTAGCTCCGATCCCTCCGCGGGGCGAGCGGCTGCCAGCAGAGCTCCAAGGTCCGCTGTTGACACGGACGCGCCTGGCGCCGTGTCGACACAGGATCGGGCTCGGACGGCGGCAGTGGCCGACAGATCCACGCGCCTCCCGCTGTCAGAGGCGTCGTCCGACAGCGCTGCCCTGCAGCGCGCCGGCGCCGTCCGCACCCGGTGCGGGCGGGTCATGTTGGAGTGGAGCGCCGTCGTCGGCTGACGGCCGGACGCTGTCGGTGGCTTGGCAGCGGTCGACTCACCGCCCATCCGTGACCACTGGCCTGTGAGCTGTGGTCTGTGACGCGTGATCTGTGACCCATGATTTGTGCCTAGATGTATGACGCATGGCCTGTGACCCGTGATCTTTGACCTGTGATCTAAGACCCGTGATCTTTGACCTGTGATCTAAGACCCGTGATCTGTGACTCGTGATCCGTGACCCATGATCTGTGATCCGTGATCTGTGACCCGTGATCCGTAATCCGTGATTTGTGACTCGTCAGTATGTTCGGCGTCCGCGTCACTCGTGATCTGTGACCCATGATCCATGTGCTATGACCTGTGACCTATGGTCTGTGACTCTCAATCCGTGATTAGATCTGTTATCTATCATTTGCGATCTGTGACCCATGATCTGTGACCCGCGATCTGCGACCTGTGACCTGTGACTCGTGACCTGTGACCTGCCATTTGTAACCGGTGATCGGTGACTCGTTTTAGGGCGACTACAAGCGGCGGGGCAATGCGCGCGCCCTGCTCTACTACGAGTGGGCCTCCCTGCGCAAATTTTACCGGCACCAGCCGCTCGACTACGTGGAGGACTACTTCGGCGTCAAGATCGGCATGTACTTCGCCTGGCTGGGCTTCTACACATATGCCCTCATCCCGCCGGCCATCGTCGGCATCATCTGCTTCCTCTACGGCATCATCACGCTTTACGACGACGTGCCCACGTAAGGGGACAGTGGCAGCCGGGTCGCGTGCTCGCTGGGGGACGCTGTTGCCCGTCCCAGGCTGGTCCTGTTGAGAAAACTGCTTGGTGTGGGATTCGGCCCACCAGAGCGGCCGACCACCTGGGTTCGGACGTGTACACGACTGTTAACGGGACTCAACGCACAGGGCTTTTCGTGTCGTCGCTGGAAACGGCTGAGCCTGGCTGCTTCGGTGATCCGCCAGGATTGATTTATGCGGTGCTGATGGCGGAAAGTGATGGGCACATGCCAGTATGTCTCTGTGTTGTGTTGCTTGAACGCCATTCGCATAACGCCCATTTCCGCCCAGAAACGACATCTGCGAGAACAAGGACGTCCTGATGTGCCCGATCTGTGACGTGTTCTGCGACTTCTGGCGGCTGAATGAGACGTGTGTGCACTCGCGGGTCACCTACCTCGTTGACAATCCGTCCACGCTCTTCTTCGCCATCTTCATGTCCTTCTGGGGTGCGTCGTCTGCCGCTTGCCAGTGGTCTGATGTCCTGGTACTTGGCGGGGGTTTCCAGATATGCATGATTTGCTGATTGCTTTCTGCGGGAGTGCTGTGCATTTTGCTTGACGATTAGTCCGTTGATTACCGTTTGCTCTGTTTAGTTCGGATGGAGCGCGGTGCTTGTGCCATCAGGGGCTGCAGCGTCATCTGAATCACATTTGACAGTCATATGAAGATAAGTATGAGTCAAAGCTTTGAGACTGGCCGATGTGGATGTGACACATCCCTGGTGGCAGCCGTCGAAATAACCGGCGAGTGTCTGTCCAGCCGCGCTGTTCCTGGAGTTTTGGAAGCGCTACTCCGCCGAGATTACCCACCGCTGGGACCTGACTGGTTTCGACGTGAAGGAGGAGCACCCGCGGCCGGAGTACCTCACCAAGCTGAAGGACCTGAGACAGGAGGTGAGTGCGTCATCAAGCTTAAGGATCTCAGACAGGAGGTGAGTGCCTCACCAAGCTGAAGGACCTCAGACAGGAGGTGAGTGCGTCATCAAGCTCAAGGACCTCAGACAGGAGGTGAGTGCCTCACCAAGCCGAAGGATCTCGGACAGGAGGTGTGTACCTCGTCAAGCTGAAGGACCTAAGACAGGAGGCGAGTGCCTCACCTAGCTGAAGGACCTGAGACAGGAGGTGAGTGCCTCATCAAGCTGAATGGCCTCAGACAGGAGGTGAGTGCCCCATCAAGCTGAAGGACCTGAGACAGGAGGTGAGTGCCTCACCAAGCTGAAGGACCTGAGACAGGAGGTTAGTACCTCATTAAGCTGAAGGACCTCAAACAGGAGGTGACTGCCTCATCAAGCTGAAGAACCTCAGACAGGAGGTGAGTACGTCACCGAGCTGAAGGGCCTCAGACAGGAATTGAGCACTTTTTCAAGCCGAAGAAACTCTGAAAGGAGGTAAGTACATCGCTGGGCTGGGGGTTTTCCCACGAAAAGTGGTTACCCCGCGACCTGGTAGAACTTAAGGCGAGAGGTAAGTATCTCATCAAGCTGATGGACCGGAGGCAGGTGGTGAGAACCGTACCAAACTGAGGGATCTCGGACTGAAGTCTCAGTAAACAGGATCTCTATTATGGTGTATCAAGGGTCAAGGATCTCAAGGACACGCGCCTCCGTTGAATGCAGCGCACCATGGAAAAGGGATGTGGGGTAGATGTGAGCGCCGAGTCAGCGTTCATGACTTCGGGGATGTAGGTGGATGCGATTATATTTTTTGACAGGAGAAAACTGTCATCTCAATAACCTTCCAGTCCTATTTATCGCACAAAAGTGGGCGCCCATTTCCGAGTCGGTGAGCTCGACACACATGCGTTGGACGTTGTTCTTGCTGCGCGACAAAAATGCCACCGAGAGAGGTTTTCCCATATTCGTTCGCTTGACAACTTCCGCGATCGAAATATTTCGCAACCAAGCTTTTACTCACAAAACTCCTGCCATAGCTAGGTGCGTCTATCTAAGCATGCGTTGGCATCTACATTTACATGTCTAAGCCTTTAATGTTTAAAAACCGTTCAGGTGAAAATTTTCATTTGATTGACTATTCAGGCAGGCGGAAACAGGAGAAGGAACAGTTTTGCCGAACAAACATGGGTTGGTTGGGTTATAATTAAGTTTTACTCGACACGGCCGCCTCGTGCGTGCCAGAGTTCTGTTTACATGACTTTCTAACTGCATACGTTTCGTCCATACAAGCAATGAAGTGTCGAAGCTTTACCCGTTACGCGGGGTGCTTACAATGCCGCGTCAAAATTGTATCCATTTAGCAGTCGTGACGGTTTCTTTGTCCTAGTTTCATCTCATAGAGTTTGTGGTCATTATTGTGTGGTCATCATTATGTGGTCAATTATTAATACATGATGGTTTCGTTGGCGCCAGTTTTCAGTGCAGTAGTAAAGATGTAGAGTATCTGTAGCAGTCATTGTCTAGCGCTAGGCCTTGCCGCGTCGCGTTGTGGCTGAAGGACAAGAAAGCTCCCGTTACAGTCCTGGCATGTGGCGGTTATGTCCGTAAGCGTGTGGTTGGTGGGATTCGCGTCATAGACTTTGTCAGTAGCGGCTTCGACCTCAGGGTTTGCGTTTGAGCCGTCAGCAGTGGGGTCTAAACGCTGTGATCACGCCTGATGTCGTTGCAAACAGTGCGATGAATTCCTATCTTACCAGATCGCTCTCCTCAGGTGAACGTGGTAACGAAGCAGCTGGAGCCGCATGTCAGCTTCTGGAAGATGCGATTCCCGCGGATCATGCTGAGCGTCTCCATCGTTCTCCTGCTGGTGCGTCGGTACAGACATCTGCCTGATATGCATCTTCTCGATCAGCTATCGCCTGATCTGCCGCGCTCTAGCATAATAACTTGTTCATCACAAAGCAATGGTGTGTGTGCTATCGTCGTGTACTATCGTGCGGCTGGTGTGGGTGTGACGGCGGCGAGCCCGGACCGCGGCGGGGACTGTGAGCCGGACTCTGGCCCCGGCCGCAGATCACCGTGGCCATCGCCATCATCATCGGCGTGGTGTTGTACCGGCTGTCGGTGCTGGCCTCGCTGGCCTACTGGAAGGACGACTACGTCAGCAGCTACGCCATGCTCTTCACCAACGCCACCGCGGCCACCATCAACCTGGTGATAGTGCTGCTGCTGAATCAGGTCAGAAACTTTAGGGTCAGCCAAGATGACAAGTAGCGTTATGTTAAAAGGTCCTCTGCTCACTTCAAAACTCTCGAGCACAGATCTTGTCGGGTTCTGGACACGCTTAACTGTACTAGATTTTGCGTTTTGAAGTTCTCAATTTTCAGCTTTCCAGCTTCGAGGAATGTACATATTCTGCACAGCGTTGTGACGAATCCCCCACCTCTTTGGCGCGCAGTCCCAAGTCTGCCTCTCACGTTGTACTCGTCTGCAAGCTTGCATGGTAGCAACTGTGCGACCGCTTTGGAGTCACCGCTGCGTCTGGCGTCATAAGCTGAAACAGGCCGATTGGGGACTGTTTGACCGGACCTGGCCCATGTTGGACCGGACGCCAGTGACCCGGTTTGTACGTGATCTAACATGATTTGGTCGGACTCCGGCCTGACATGGCCTGATCTGATCTGACCTGACCTGACCTGACCTGACCTGACCTGCGCTCAGGTGTATGACCGGCTGGCTGAGTACCTGACGGACCTGGAGCTGCCCCGCACCCAGTCTGAGTACGACGACAGCCTCACCCTCAAGATCTACCTGCTGCAGTTCATCAACTACTACGCGTCCATCTTCTACATCGCTTTCTTCAAGGGCCGCTTCCACGGCTACCCGGGGAAGTACAACCGTATCGCTGGCTTCCGTCAGGAGGAGGTGAGAACTGCGACGGAGCGGGGCCGCCCGCCGCGGTGGGTCCTCGGGTTCTCGCCGTCGCCGCCGGAGCCGGTTACTTCGTCATGCTCATTAGCACTTGTGGGGTGGTGCGCATGCCTTGTGCTGTGTTGAACTGATCCATGACGTCAAATGTGCATCTGGCTGTGCTGTCCTGAGTTGTCCGCAAGCCTGTCCATTTGAGGTGTGGGCTACGTTTGAAAGATCAGGACGACGGTGCTCTGTTGTTGTTTCGTTGTGAGAAGGTTTGCCGCGGTCAGAAGCTGGCGTCATCCGTTAGGTCTTAACTCGCGGTGGCCACAGCACTGACGAGCCATGCCGGTGACTGTGCCCGGTGACTGCTCCCGTGCCAGCAGTCGGCGTTGTCGGTATGTGTGTGTGTGTGTCCCGGCGCTGACGGTCGGCCGCGTGTCCCGCGTCTCCTGCGACAGTGCGGTCTGGGCAGCTGTCTGTATGTTCTGTGTGTGTGTGTGTCGCGGCGCTGACGGCCGGCCGCGTGTCCCGCGTCTCCTGCGACAGTGCGGCCCGGGCGGCTGTCTGCTGGAGCTCACCATGCAGCTGGCCATCATCATGGTGGGCAAGCAGGCGCTGCTCACCATCTGGGAGATGGTGCTGCCGTGAGTAGTGCGCCGTCGGCCGGACGCCGGCCCGGTGCTCAGACGCTGATTGGGTGCGAAGGAGAAACATATGGGAACGCTCGCTGGTGTAGCTCGGCTGCCGCCGGTTGTGGTCAGCGTCATGGCTTTGGAAAATTCGACGTCGCTGGTAGCGCTGGTCAGAGACCTGAGGGGTGTATTCGCAGCATGCAAAGAATGCTCTATTGTGTGTGACGTCACGTATAATTTTTTCCTTACTTTGTCGCAGCGCGACTCGCTTTCTGTTTATATCGTCGTGACTGCCGTGACAATAACTGCGCATTCAAAGACAAGATTTTCGTGGAAATCGAAACTGCAAATTATGCCCGTTGTAGCATGCAAAACACCTTTTTATCAATTGTGGTCGGTCGTGGGCATAAGAAACAGCCCTGTAATTAAATGTGCTGTGTCTCATTTGCCTGTCTCATTTCGATCGATTCGAGGAAAAGTCGTCTCCGCCAGCCGACACTCTATGTACAAAAGCGGTAATTTTTCCGTAGCTCTGCACTAGTGAGAATGCCTATCTACGGTTTTTCCATGATGCAAATGCATTCTCTTCTTGAAAATCGGAAGGTGGGTGAACTATTTGCTGGAATCCAATACCTCCAAGGCGTGATGCTGGTCACGCTGGCTCGGATTCCTTCAGCTCATCCGTGTTGTACGGCCTGCACTAGCTATGCGAACAGTGCTGATTAAGGAGGTACAGCAGTGCAGTTATCGTTGCCGGAATGTGGCCCCTGACGATGTGCTCTGGCTTGTTGGTGCAGCGCTGTCATCACTGTCTCCCCCCCCCCCCCCCCCCCCCCCGTCAGTCCTTGCCCGCAAAGGAACTAGCTGGGGCCGTGACGGGCCTTGGTGCACTCCACTGGACGGCAGACGAGTTTGTACCTCACGTGCGCCGTGAGGTAAACTGTCGGTGCAAACTCGCCGTATTCCTCATGTTCCCAATGCAGCCGCTGTCCCCAGCCCGGATATCCGGTACAGCTGCCGTGTCCAGTCCTGACGTCCACTGTCTCCCCAACCTTGACATCCCCTGGCCCCTGGTCCGCTGGCCCCTGGTCCTGACCCCTTGCCGATGAGTGGCCCTGACGCTGTCGGTCGCGACTCGGGCAGGAAACTGTTCACCTGGATCGGGGACCTGAGCAAGCTGCTGACCCAAAGGAAGGAGGACGACCGCGTGCTGCCCCGCTGGGCGGCCGACTTCCGGCTGCTCGACTGGGGGCCCCAGAGCCTCTTCTGGGAGTACCTGGAAATGGGTGAGGACTCGCCGGGCGCCAGAGCGCCAACAGCACGCGTTCTAGGCGTTTGGTCGTGTGCGTTTTATGTATGAACAGAATGTGAGGAGCCTGTGTTGATTCATACTCATTAACTTTAGTAGATATAGTTTTCTCCCGGTTTTTCTCCGAGGAATAATATTATTGCTTCTGTGTTATCCACGTGAATAATGCTCCTCTCTAAAACACTGAAAAACTTAACTTTAGTAGGTTTGAACATCCCGTTAGACACTGGGATCCCTGATGTTACTGGAACGAAAGTAGTTATGTGCTTTACCTGTTGATGCATGTCTTTGTGATCGAATCATAAGCCTGATCATATCTTATGATTGTTAGATTTGTATCAGGTATGTTGTATTTCCGTCCCGCCGCCGCTGTTCCCGGCTTCCACTACTGATTCATTACTGGTTTCGTTCGAGTGGTGTGAGCTTGTATATGCTTCCACTCTCGGGATGCTAGATTGTGTTCGCACGCACTGAACACATCGAACGCGCATACTATTGCTGGTACCAGCCGACCCCTGCTGGCTGTAGACCGGTGCTTGACCATAGCTTATATTGGCCGGCGTTGCTAACACCAGGTGACTGCCGGCGCTAGCCGGACATAAAATATCGCGTCTTTTATCACCACCTCACTGTGTCATGCCGATGCGCTGACTGCAATCAGCAGAGCGCGGGTGGGCTACACTCCTGCACAGCTCTGGTGTCCGTGCCCGGTCCCTGGGGCGGCTTTGTCCAACGCCTAGCTCCCTCGCCTCCGCAGTGATCCAGTTCGGCTTCGTCACCATCTTCGTGGCGTCGTTCCCGCTGGCACCGCTGTTCGCCATCCTCAACAATGTGCTGGAGATGCGGCTAGACGCGCGCAAGCTGCTCTCGTTCTACCGGCGGCCAGTGGGCCAGCGTGTCCGCGACATAGGCATCTGGTACCGCATTCTCAACACCGTCGGCAAGCTGGCCGTACTTAGCAACGTGAGTCTGCCAGGACCGCGGCGTCGGGGACAGAACGGCCGGGACGGCGGACCGGGGACGGAACGGCCGGCACCGCGGCGCCGGGGATGGAACGGCCTCGGCCGCGGCCGGAATTGCAGCACCGAGAACGGAACGGCCTCGGCCGCGGTCGGGACTGCACTGGGGACGGAACGGCCCAGACCGCGGCGCCGGGGATGGAACGGCCTCGGCCGCGGTCGGGCTCGTGTGCGCCAGACGAGCTGGTTCTGGGCGCGATGCACTCGCAGATACCGTGTCTTCCTCATGGCCTCTCAGGGCATGCTGCGACTCTGGGCCTGTTGAATCCGCGGACCGTGACCGCGTGGTCATTGGGCGACCTTAGCAGCCGTGCAGCCCACGTACTGTCTTGGCGTGACCGGGGCGGGTGCTGGGCCTGCGGTCTCCGGCTGCTGTGCGTCAGCTCGCTCCGCCGGGTCCGCCGGCTAACCGGTGCTCGTGCCCCGGCCAGGCCTTCATCATCGGCTTCACGTCCAACTTCATCCCACGGCTGGTCTACCAGATGAGGGTCAGCGAGAACGGCACGCTCGCCGGCTACATGAACCACAGCCTGGCCGTGTTCCGCGTGGCTGACTTCCCGGAGCGCTACCGGCCCGTGGTTGACAACGCGACGCGCATCGATACGTGCAGGTCGGTTGGCTGGTGGCGCTGGATTTGCGGTAAGGTGTTTGATCTACGTAGTGTGGTCCTGCGGGCGTCAGGTGGCTGATGTTTTTCTAGTAGAGACGTGATACAAAAATCACGCCTCGGCTAATAAAAACATTGTTCAAAGGTGTAAAAACGCCACTCGCAAAGCAAAACCGCTGCTGCAGCCACTAAATGAGATAATTGTTTGCGGGGCTGCTAGGTCTACGAAATGCCAAACGTAAACGACATACGCCGCTGTGGATGCGCGGCGGGGTGGTGGCGTGGCCGTAAGAGTGCTTGAGGTCCGCACGAAGATAAGGAGGTAACGATACTGGGAAAGGTGAGCGAATTGCACGTAGTCTTTCTTCACGCACTTGCAAGTGCGTGACTCTGGTCAGATTGCCACCAACGGATCCCCTCAAAATAAATGCTTGGAGTTTGATACAAAGGTGCTCTTTCCGGCCTATCCACATCAAGTGAGGAACAGTGAAGAGAGTAGAGACAAAGAGGCGCGCAGTTACCCTCAGTTATTCATGAAAACAAACCTGTTCAGACCACATGGGTGCAGTTTCACAAAATTGGTCCGGGGGGAAGCGCTGAGCAGTGAAAAATATCATCAATTACGCCAATTTGCGCCAACAAATAGGTTTCTCCGTGGAGTTGCCGCGATCATCTTCGCAGAGATTGAGCGGCGGGAGCGCCAGTGGAGAGGAGGGGAGCGCTATAGTAGTGCGCTCCGCGGTTGCATGCTGCTCATCTTTCTGTGCGCGACTGTCGCAGGTCGGCGACCTAGCGCTGGTGGGAATCCAGTGGCGCCCATGGAATGCCCGTTGTTCAGCACACACTAAACCTCGTGTGAGATATTTGTGCGTGTGTGTGTTTGTGTGTGTGTCTTGTACGCGCCACAAGACGCCATAACTTTCTTGGCGCCACTCGATACAGATATCCTGGCAGGGCGTAGCTTCACAAAGTAAGTTCGGGCTGAGCGTTGGAAATTTACGAAATTACCCCACAAAATACGTCGCCGAACTAGTTTTCCACGGACTTGACCAGCTTTCTTTGCGAAGTTGAGGGCCGTATGTTAATTAACGCTGTTTATTTTGCGGCCCCCTGATTTGCTCTGGTCCTGTTCCACTTTGCATGTTGACAGCACCATGGGTTTGGGTTGGGGGCAGGATTTGCCAGGGGCCTCGCGGACAAAATTGGGCCTCCCCGCAGGGGGAGGGGGCTCCTGCGCGGCGGCGTCATCAAGAGTGAGGGGCACTGAAAGCGCGTGCCCCTTATCAAACTCTTACATATAGCGTGCCCCAAGAAGATATGTGTAATCAGTTAAGGAGGGCCTCCGGATCTCGCCAGTGGGCCTCACTATCCCAAAACAGGGCATGCTGATTCGGAACCGTAGCCATCTCATACATGAAAGTTATCTCCTGTTCTAGAAATTGGGTCTCCTGAATATGGAGGGTGCCTCCAAAACCAGAACAGGGCCTCCTAGATTGTAACGGGGTCTCGTAAGCCAGCAAAGGGCCCTCCTTTATACAACATTGGGCATCTTGATATATGGCACTGGCTGCCCCCTTCCTAAAAGCGCCCTCAGGACTCAAAAATGGAATTTTTGATGTAGCAAATTATCTTTTATGCCCAATTTTTTACCCTCTAGCTGAGTTTTTGGGGCCTCTTTTATATGAATTTTAGTATTATGCGTGCAACTACACTTTGCAGTTAGTTGAGAAAAATTGGGACCTCTCCCCCCAAAAAAAGAAATGGGAACAGGGGAACTGTTGCTCCCCTGCCTGCTGGAAGGCCGGGGTCAACTACTTCCCCCTGCTGCGCTCCCTCCCCCCCCCCCCCCCCTGGGCACCACGTACTTCTTCACGCACGTCACTTCAGTGTTTAATGCATCTGTATCGTGTGCGCCTACTTTTATGTTTACAGCATTAGCTGCGTTAGAGCACAGTGAGAAAACAAGTTGGTAGCTTTGTAGCACATTTGTGCCAGGAGGGGAAACTGGAGAAACTACGTACTGGAGAAAAAAATTTCACTAGAAAAACTAAGAACTCAGAAAAAAAACTTTTACTTACTGGAGAAAATACGCGAGATGCGGCGAGTGTGTGGACGTCGCGCGCCAGTGGTGTGTGGCGTTGGGTCCGTTGGCAGTGGTACTCAGCGGTGGTCGCTGACCAACCGCCGTGTGTCCGTCTTGTCTCTGTTCCGTCCGCCGGCCGGGGCCTCTCGTCACCGACATCACGCGAGCGTGTGCTGCCGCCTGGTGACAGGTACCTGGACTACCGGCTGGGCCCGGACGCGGCCGACCCGTACGCGCCGGACACGCTCTACTGGCACGTGCTGGCCGCTCGGCTCATCTTCGTGCTGATATTCGAGGTGAGAGCGCCAGCTGGCGGCCGCTCAGCGCTGCGGTGCGGCTCCGGCCGCGGCTGCTCACCGTACCCGCTCCGGTCTCATCGGCGCCCAGCGCACCCTGCAGTGTTCGACTGACTGTATCAGTGGTACGCCCGTCTCGCAGTCGGCATATGGTGCGCCTTTGGGGACGGATCAGCTGCTGTCAGCAGGCATATTGTGGAGACGCTCGGTGGAAAGGTGGGCGGGCTGACAGCGCGTTATCGGCTCGGGACCTGCCCGTCGCCGGCTGCCCGGCACGCAGTCTCAGTGGAAAGGTGGGCGGGCTGACTGCGCGTCAGCGGCTCGGGACCTGCCCGCCGCCCGCTGCCCGGCACGCAGTCTCAGTGGCGGCCGCGTGTTCCAGAATGTGGTGTACGTGATCATGCAGCTGATCTGCTGGATCACGCCCGACATCCCGCGCAAGCTGAAGGAGCGCATCCAGCAGGAGAACTACCTGGTGCAGGTACGACCCGGCGGGTCTGGCCGGGACAGGATGGATGGGGCCCTCTCCCCGCGGTGGGCTGGGGCGCGCGGACAGGGCGTGTGCCCCCGGGCGTGCGCCACCCGTGCCGCTTGTGAGCGTACTGCGCCGGGTTACGCGGTGACGGGTCAGGGACGGCATATCACAGCGCCGACACTCAGTGCTCCAAACGCGATGTGTTCTCACGACTGGTCAGTGACGCTGACCGAGCGGTCTGTGATAAGGTGAGCGCATGTGGCGCTGTGATGAGTCGTGATGTAGTTGTCACATGGTTCTAAACACCTCTAGATGGCGATGTTGGGCCGGTAAGGAGTTCGTCAAGTTGTGGCTATCCGGCACATTCTCTCGTTTGCAATGCGTAACTAGTTTTGATTTGTTTCGCGTCCTGTATTGTTAGCTATTTAGGGGGCAAAAGCAGACAATCACCGCAGACATCCGCTTCATTTGTCACTGTATTATATTTATGCGGAGGACCTGGCTAACGGGGGGTCTTCTTACATCGCTTCATGCATCCTCTTGTGCTGCGTTTGCCTGGCTTCGAAATTTGCCAGTGCTTCTCTGGCTCAGTTTGAGGTTTTATGATGCGTTCTCTGTGAGTCGTTCTTATGTGTAATCGATTCATGCGTTTCGCAACGCTGGCTTTATGTGAATGGCTCGCGGTTTCGAGTCGCGCAACTGGACTGTGGAGGCTTACTGCACTTTAAAGCATTGCTCGCTTTGCTGTCGGCCGCCTGAAGCCCATTTAAAGCAGCAGGCTGCCCGCGCATTGCCTCTTGCCAGCTGGTGTCCATGCGTTGGAACACCGTTTGACGCCTCCGTGTCTTTCATATTAACCAAATCGTTTCATTGAGTCACCCTAGAAGTTGGATCCATTTGTAGGCATACCATTTCCTGACAATAACGGCACCGCGTCATAAATGCCTCCGGTATTTTTGATGCATGATGGGGGGGGGGGGGGGGGAGAACTGGTCGGTGGCGAGAGACGCGGGGCTTGTCAGCCGGCCGTCCCGTCACCGACGGCCGTCTGACCGCCCGTCCGCCCGTCCGCCCCGGCAGGAGATGATCGTCGAGATGGAGCTTTACCGGGCGCGGGGCGAGGACCCCAGCAATCTGGGCTGCACCCTGCTGCAGCGACTGGTCGGCGACCCCGAGGTAGGTCGAGGTCGTGACCGCACTGGAACCTCAGATGGCGGTGCCTCCCGTGCGGTTCCGTTACTGGCTCGGTCGGTGCGGCAGTCACCGCTTGGTCCCTTTAGATTCTCTAACGGTGTTGTAGATAGCTGCGACCGATGCGAGCCGGTGATCTCACGTGTTATGTGCATCCGGGTGTGAATTTTGACGAGCACTCTGTTCTCCCGCGTAGCTAAGTCTCACGGGATAATGGGCATTCGGGTCTGAAAGCGCTGCTTTGAGAACGTTCGTGAGTACGCAGCGGCCGTGGCCGCCGGGCGTGTCGTGACCTGCTTGTGCAGCTGCTTGTACAGCTGGGCCCCGCAGCTGGCGCCGGCCTGCCGGCAAACACTGACACCTAGCACAGGCCGAGCTGTACCAAGTTTTGGCCGGGCTTGATAACCGTGCTGAGGGTCTGTCCTCGTGTGTGCCGGTGCGTGCCGGCAGAGTCGCAGCCCAAGGGTCGCCGCGACACCCGGTACCGTTCTGCGATGTTCCGTGTACCAAAACACGTCGGTACAAACGGCTCGTAATTATTAATTAGTCCAAATTCGCTTTAACACCGCCCACGTTTGAGGTAGGACTTAGTTCCTGCACTGCCCTATTGCAGGAAAAGTTTAATGTTCTAAACCTGAACCAGGCGCTTCAGAATTGGATGCGACTTTCCATGCGTGGCACTGCTCTTCGTAACTATGGTGCGGTGGCAAACAATGCTTATCCAGACAGTTTAGTCCTGCGTGTAAAATACTACTTCGCACGTGACGGTCTCATTTAATTAAATTCGTAGTCACAACCATGCAATAAGCATGAGGCACACGTGGTTTGTGCCAATGGTAGCCCCCCCCCCCCCCCCCGGGATGAAAGGTGGCCATTTTGGATGGAATCAGTAGGTTGGCATAAACCATTGAGCAGATAAGATCACAATCACCTCATACGGCGGATCTGCGTTGTTCGTTGTTGTTTCCCCTTTAATTTGACTTGAAATAACCTAGGGTTGAAATGCATTGGGTACAAAGTGGTTGTTGCCTCGGAATATGCAGACCACGTTATTTCAATGTTTCGCAGTAATTGTCATGCGTAGTGGAGTATGCGCAAGTTCAGCAGCCCATAGGTTTGGAGCAACCCATAGGTTTGGGCTTTGTCACCATCGGGCAGCTCTCTGTTCGGCTGAATCACGCAGTGAAAAACTATAGGCATGATTCCTTGAGAAGCGGCACAGTTCAACGTGCCCATGAGCTCCCTAAGCAGGCCCTCTCGCCAACGTCAAAAATGCTGACAGGCATGTTCAAAAGAGGCAGCTGGTTGTAAGGGCACAAGAAGGCCAGGCATTGACATGCACGCGTTGGTTTTGTAAACTGCAAGGGAGTTGGGTAGAACTTTCCGCTAAATGGAAGGATATGGCAAAAAGCTGGGAACGGCATAGGATTTGTATTAATGTTGTATCATGTCAGGCGTTAAGTGTGGTGTCAATTTTTTCTACGTTTGCGTGGTCGCCCCCCCCCCCCCCCCCCCCCACACACCTCCGCTGCCTGCTTCTACGCCAATGCTGTCCCCTTCCGATCATTAAAGCCATGGCATCGGAGATTCCATTTTGCCGATTGTATTTGCCCCTCACGGCACTGGTTTTCTTGTAGCTGCCCCCCCCCCCCCCCCCCCTCCACCGCCCCCTGCCGTCAAGTCCCAAGGCCGTTCTCAAGTACGCGAGCCATCAGTTCGCGACGCTGCCTTCCAACGCCAACGCAACGCAGCGCAACGCACAACGCCAAACGTCAACGCAAATTGGCCAACCTCGTATAAGTGTGCTTGCCAAGTCTTTCCGATATTTAACTGTGTATTTGAAGGAGCATCAAAAAATGCCGGAAGTCTAAATTTAGGTTCGAGTCTTTTTGAGTTACAATATAGATGGAAGATAAAAACGAGGCAAATCACATGCACATTGAGCAAGTTTTTTGGACGTTCCAAAACAGGAGTAGATATCACAGATATCGCATCGAGGTGAAGAACAACGGGTATAGGATTTCAGTTTCACTACCGGTTCTTGGCGAAGCGGAAAGGCCAGGATAAATGTGCGGTGACTCATATATGCGGCTAGTGATATGAAAAGCGAGCATTGGAATGCCGTCATTTTCTTTTTGTAGGCGGCATTTCCGGGTGAACGTACCTTGTCGCTTGCAAAAGGACAACTGTAAGCGCGCGGGATGAATGGTGCATTGACTCCCCAGTTTATAGTTGCGTTCGGCCAGTGATGGATCGATCATGTCGAAATCAGACGTGATACGCATCTGTTCAAATAACTCAATGATGTGTGCTTCTTGTCAGGCATGCTGTGACTAACGACTGTGACTAATCAGACTGCGACTACGATGTGCCGGTTTTGCTCGTCAGGGTGCGCTGAAATGTTCGCGCGCATTTGCCGCCCTCTTACACACATGTGCTATCTTCTACTGAGCATTGGCGCGAGGTACCGTCTGTAGCGATGTTCTGGGTAAGAAGCCATTCCACTGGAAGCTCGTTTGACGTGTGTTTTCATGGAACCTCCACGAAATACTGAATTGGGTGAGATTAATTTCCACGGAGTTGGCAATTTTCGTCCCTGCCGGCGCGCATCCATGCATATTTCCGGCCCCTAAGCGGGTTAACTGGCGCGTGCTTGCATTTCAGCATATGAAGCCTTTCGCTGAGAGGTCCATGCTGATGGCCGAGCCCACTGAGCGTCAGGCGGTGTCCCGCAACTCGAGCGGCACGGAGAAGGATCACATCTCGGACTACGAGTCAGCCATTCTGACGTGAGCGCCGTCCTGCGGACGCGGCGGTCAACTGTGGTGTCGCCGGAGCCCGCTGTGTGTCGCGACGATGGATCCCGCCGATGCAGCTGTCGCTGTCTCGTACGCCGAGTTGGCAGTTTGCACGCTCCGTGGCGCGGCCTGTTTTCCATTTTTAATACCTTGTCGCAGTAGGTCCGGCGGACGCACAACACGGATGCGTGCAGGCCATGTGTAGCAGCCGCCGTCACTACGCTACGATTCTGTGATGGGTTTTGCTGCTCAACGGTCTGTGTTCTGTCCATAGCTGTACCAACCGACATTGTGATTAAGCCCGTAGGAACGTCGTGTGCGCTGTTGAAAGACGCTTGGTATGCAGTGTCAGTGCGGGGCAGCGGTGGCGTTGGAGACGGTTGGCGTAGGCCTGCGACAGAAGCGCTTTCGTTCGCCTCGCTGAGGCCGGGTGTTAGGGCAGCGCTGCGTGTTGTGCTACAGCGGGACTCGGTTTCGTCGTTGGTGCCTTTCGATCCCATCGTGCAATGTTCGTGCGTGTGTTGCTATGTGTAAGCAGCTCTGGGCGTGGCGGTGCACTGGCTCTGCCCCTTGTCTGCCATTGCCGTGTCGTTGGAGGATTCGCGATGAAGACTGGGTATTTCTCGTGCTTTGGCTACTGCGTTATCTCCTTCTTAAGGTTTATTGTTCTCGCGTAGTTGGTGTGCAGGGTGGGTGCCGGCCAAAGAATGGTTCAACAGCAGCCATGGACTTCTAGTCGGATCTGATTTAACAGGGCACCCTTTCGCTGCCTCGAACTGGCTTTTCACGTCACCATGCAGCATTGCGTCTGGCCGCACCAGCCGTTTATCAGTCACACAACCTCCGCCTGATCTGTCTCGCATTTTTATTGGTGTAGTTTTACATTTTCCACGGCGCACATCTCTCAACCCGCCTGCGAGGCACGTCGTGTCCACGTGGCCTCGCGCACGGGCCGCCCGTGACAGACGGGGCCCACGGCAGTGATGGCGTGTCTTCCTGCGCGGGTTCGGGTGTCGGCGTTGATTCTCGCCGCCGATGCAGGCGCGTGTTTGAGCGCGTGGATGCGGGCGCGGGCGGGTGTTTAACAAAGCTCGCGGCGTCTCTGGGAGCGATGGCGGAGGCTCGCGCAGAGGCGGCGGGCGCCGGAACTGCTTTGCTCACCATGCGGCTCTTGTCCGGATTGTTGTCCTGCGCTTGTGTTCGGCGCGAATATGACGACCGTCTAATATAACCGTCTAATATCTAATATAACGGTGCGAACGTGTGTGCTCGTCCCGTTCGCCGCGTCAAGCGCTCCGGCTGGCAGCAGAGCTCACATAGGACCGTTTGAACACACCAGGAAGGGCTAAACTCGCGAGGTGTCGGATCCACGTCAGGTAGGTTATCTGGAAGCGGCGACCCTCATCCCGGCGGTGAAATGAGTCGGGTCTGAGCCGTATTGGTCAGAGCTCAGCAAATTTCAGCTGGTAAGCGTGGACACGTAAGGGTGGAAATCATGCGGCGGTATTTAGGGTGGAAACGGTTTTTTCGGGTCTGTCTGTCTGTCGAAACCCTTGTGTCTGAACTGCATGACACAGACTGTATGTGTCGGGCAGGTCTGTGTCAAGCAGGCATGTGACATACCTATCTGACGTTTCAAAAGCGGCTTCTCGCTTATTTGGGTGTTCTTTTTTAATAGCTAGGAACAGCAACCTCACCTAAAAAAGCTTGTCCAGTACAGAATGTATGCACCTGCTGCGTCTCCAGTACCTGCCTGAACCGTTTTAAAGGCCTGGTCAGGCGTGAGCTGCCTACAAATCAAGGTTTTTGCTGGGGGATGCGGCGGCTCACCGTGGGTATGGGGGTACTTCAGGTCACTGGTGGGTGGGTATATCCCCTTCCCCCATTTAGCACGTTGAAACAGGCACTGATACGTGTCATTAAAACCTTTCGGTTTAGTCCCTTATGTTTGCGGCGGACATCGACACATATCTGCCCAGTATGGCGTATTAACTGACAGGGCGTGAGAGCCTGAATAACTAGAATCCTTGTGATGTTCGTGTCATTTTAGCCCCCTCCCCCCCCCCCCTCCCACGTAGGTTTTGGGCGGTGGTGATTTGATTTCACTCCCGAAGGTTTTTACAGCATGGTGTCCTAATGGCCCGGCTACGCAGCGCCAAACTTTGCATACTGAATGCAATTAACACCCTCGGGTGTAGATTTCTTTGACCCCCCCCCCCTCAAGGTTTTTTCCGATATGGTTTCCGAATGGCGTCAAAGTCAATTGCTACGCCATCATTCAATCTGCTGCAACAACAGTGTTACACGGAGCCCTCTGCGGGGTACTTTTGTAGGCAACGCAACAATTGAATGAACAAATTGCACTGAACTGGCGTCAGGTATGAAACTCAGACCAAGGTCAAAACTAGCCTGTTTTAGTTCTCTAGGACTCGCTGTGTGATATAGTTCCTGGTGCTCACTTTAAATTTATTGATTACAGTAACCGCGTTATACATCTTCCATGGACTCATTTTTGAGGTCAGAATAGGTCACTGACCAAAATGACCTAGAGCAACGTATTTTTGGGGGAACATACTGCCTGGCATAATCTCTGTCGCTTGTTCATATGCAAAACTCTAGGCAGTATTGTATGATTTTGGACACCGTGACCCTCCAAAGACGAAACAAGGTCAATGGCCTTAAATGAACATGTTAATTTTTGTTACAACAGGTGCCTAGGTTCTAGGGACACCTTGGACGCTAACTTGGAGTTTCTCCTTGTTTGACCGTATTTGACTCGAAGGCAATGACCTAGGAGCCTCAAACTTTGACTTCAGTGAGTTCACGTACAGGTTAAGACACTCTGTGAATTTGGTACATTTAACTGCCTTAGTTTTTGAGGTCCCAGGAGGCCAAACTGACCCACTACTCGAGCGAAGGGTATCGAACCGGCCACCCGGTTGCGTGTTAAATAGCGAATTTGTCCGAACAAAAGCGTATATGTACCTTGTAGGGTCACTAACCTATAGCAGGTCAAAGTCAGCCCATCGCCATTAGCGGTTACAGTTTCAAGGGAATCGTTCAATCTGATAGAACAACGCGGTGGTAGACGAATCCACACTGCTCGGAGGCTGTTTCTTAGGCAACAAAACTATTGAGTTTAGAACTGCAACAACAGCAATAACAAATTTAATCGATCTACAGTCGGGTATGAAGGTCAGACCAAGGTCTAAACCGGTTTGTTTTTTACTCGAGAGCTTGCTGTGTGGGATGGTTTCAGCTACCACAACCCAACACAACTTCCATTGATTTTTAAAAATGCGGGGGACGTCATCAACCTTAAATGATCCCGGTCAGCTTTTTGTTTTTAGCAGCCGCTTGCGAACAATCCTTGAGCATTTTCAGATGTAAAGATCGAAACAATGTCGTAAGTCATCGTAGAAGCACGGTTACGGCTGAGTAGGCAATACGATTAACGGCTGCGTTAAACCGGCGGCGAAAACACCCACATTGGTGGCAATAATACAATTGGCGGTGGGGTATTCAACTGACCAAATTAACCAATGTATTGAAAGTGACTATTTTGGTTACATTTCAGTCATTTTTGGTGACCGGTTAATAGCGAGTCATTGCTACGCGTCCCAGGATGCAATTGAGGTCCATATGAGACAATAACAAGTGCCACGCATTTTGAGAGTAAGGAGCAGGGCCCTGTGAGGAGCAAGGCTGGAGCTGAGTCGGCGTTAGGGATGCATGGGTTAGGGCGCAGAGCGCTAGGGGTTGGACGCGCGGAACTTGGGGATGGGAAATCTCGTAAGCGTTTGGTTTGTATGTTGGCAACGCCGGCGCGGGCCTTGCTTTCAGTAAGACGGTCCATATCAGCTAAATCTAGCAGAAAGAAACTTAAGTCCATTCCGATAATTCCGTGAGAACTGCAAATTTGTCTGTGTCTGGTGCGATAGAGCTCCCTGCTAGGACCGAGAATCAGAAGAATTACTGCGTTGTTGAAAGGATGACTATATTGCAGCAGTTTTTCAGGGGGATGATGTTGTTCATTTGGCTGATAGCAAAGCATCATCCTCATTGCAAAATCAAACTCAAGCCCTCTGGAAGTTCTGCCAAGCTGAAAATGGTTGTGCAACATTGTCCTTTACAATATTTGAGCTTTAAAGATGATTATATAAAATTAATTTGGCATGCATTCATGCTATTTACTCATGTTCATGAAAAAGGCATGAGCTTTCCTAGCACCTACTGTGTGATGCTAGTAGATATGAAGCCTTGGACATACATTTAGCTGCAATCATGTAAAGCATGTTCCAATTGAAATAACTGCAGTGTGCTAAAGCATGAGCCCCTTATTTTTGTCATGGCAGAACCCTTACAGAAGTCTAATGTGATCACTCTGCTGACCAAATACAACCCAAGTAGGTTACAGTTATTATCTTGTATGTTTCTTCACAGTTAAGGCACAAACTACATGGCAAAGCAATTTTTGTATTGCAATTTTATTGCAAGCAATTTTGCATATTGCAACCTGTGAGATACAATTGTTTTTGTTACTCAGTCCAATCAGATGTGACCCACTGGCTGTTTCCATGTTTAGGTGAATATGTTTCTGAAAGTCACTGAACACTAACATTATGTGATTGCAGGATTCTGGAACATTGCTGAACAGTTGCCACAAATATGGTGCTCTGAGGAAGTAGTACAAGTTTGTGGCATAGTAGTAGCAGAAAAGTAATGCTCTTTCAAAACCTGGTCCTGCAAACAATCATCAAGCGACACTGCCAGGCGGCTGCACACATCTTCAAGGAAGTGTACGGCTGAAGCCCTTCATCATGGACAGACGCTACCTGCTGGTGCTGGGGTTGGGGCTGCTGCTGCGCTGGGCGGTGTCGCTGCACCCGCACTCCGGTCGGCACCAGCCACCCATGTATGGCGACTACGAGGCACAGCGGCACTGGATGGAAGTCACGCACAACCTGCCGCTGTCCGACTGGTACCACAACACCACCGACAATGACCTGCTCTACTGGGGCCTCGACTATCCGCCACTCACGGCGTACCACAGCTACGTGTGCGGCGCCGTGGCCGCCTGGTTGGATCCCTCGTACGTGGCACTGCACGCGTCGCGCGGCCTCGAGACGCCCGAGCACCGGCTGTTCATGCGCAGCACGGTGCTGGTGGCGGACCTGCTGGTGTTCCTGCCGGCCGTGCTGTGGTTCGCGCTGTCGCTGTGCCGCAGCCGCAGTGTCACGCTTAACGTGCTGGCTGTGTTCGCGCTGTATCCCGGCCTTATGCTGATCGACCACGGCCACTTCCAGTACAACGGCGTGTCGCTGGGCCTGACCGTGGCGGCGGTCGCGGCGCTGGTCGGCCGCCGCGACCTGGTCGGCGCCGCGCTCTTCTCGCTGGCGCTCAACTACAAGCAGATGGAGCTGTACCACGCCATGCCGTTCTTCTGCTACCTGCTGGGTTTGTGTCTGCGCCAGCGCACCTGGGCTGCCGCCGTCGGCAAGCTGACTAGGATCGGCGCCGTGGTGGTGGCCACGTTTGGGCTCGTGTGGCTGCCGTTCTTGGTGGACGGTGAGCGGACGGCGCAAGTGGTGATCCGTCTCTTCCCGTTCAACCGCGGCTTGTTCGAAGACAAGGTGGCAAACTTCTGGTCCAGTCTGTCCGTGGCGTACAAGGTGAAGGAACTGTACGACATCGGCACAGTTGCAAGCATGTGCCTGTCGGCGACGGCCGTGTGCCTGATGCCCAGCAGTTTGGCGCTTCTCACAGACCCGACCGCGCACAACCTTATGCTGTCGCTACTGAACTCGGCGCTCGCTTTCTTCCTTTTCTCCTTCCAAGTGCACGAGAAAAGTATACTGCTGGCTGCTATTCCGGCCTGCATGCTCTTCCCCGACTACCCGCTCTCGTGCTTCTGGTTCCTCACCGCTTCAACACTGAGCATGCTGCCCTTGCTGCTGAAGGACGGCCTCCTGCTCGCCACCATCGCCACCACCGTCTTCTTCATCGTAGCCGTCAACATGACGACGGGTGTGCTGGACGTGAGCCGGCGCGCCGCGGCGCCCAAGCAGCGCTCCCGCCTCACGTCCACCAGCGGCCAGCCGACGGTCGACCCCTGCTCGCGCTGGGCGGTGCCCGCCTTCGGCCTCTCGCTGGCCGGCTATGTGCTGCTGGGCGCAGCCGCGGCCGTCCTTAGTCCGCCGGCGCGCTACCCCGATCTCTGGGCCGTGCTCATCTCGCTCTACTCGTTCGTCCATTTTGCCGGCTTCTTCTTGTATTTTCACCTGATTCAGTTCCAGTTCTTCGACGAGAAGTTTAAGATATGCTGAACACGCAGCTTTTCTACTTTTTTAGATGGGAGACCCTTGCCGTTATGGTATTCTGTTGAGTCTTTGTCACGGACACCGCGCACGAGGGGCACGAGAGCATCGCTTGGCATATGCTGTCATTCAGATATATCCTGTCCATGGTGCTAAAGGCTCCCTTTTGTTAAACCGAGTGTCCACCATCGACGGGCAGTTTGTGTGCGACGCACTGCTAGTACCATTGTCAGAATGCGGGGCTAAATTTTCGCCAACGTTTTATGAAATACCTGTCGGTGGGGTTTCGTGCTGCTTGCATGTCCATGGTCGGTTCCATGACGGTGCACTAGCGTGGTGCGGTTAATATCTGCAGTGTCCAAGGTCTGTGTGGCGCGATGAGATCCGTGGAGATTGGGCCGGTGAAATAGCTCGCACTGCCTTATGTTTTGGTGCAAGGTTGTGATGCCTGGGGCTGGTTTTTAATACAAACTCGCTGGGACATGTTGATGTGTGGAGTTTATCAATAATGAGGTTTGAGCAATAGGAAATATTGCGCTGCGGGCACAGTGTCGCCATAGGTGTTTTCCAGCTCCCTGTTGCGCATTGGAAACTGAGAACGGCCCGCTGTCTTGCATAACAGTTGCATGAATTTAGGTAATGGTGAATGACAGACAGCTTGGGAGGCTTAGTCATGTTACGTGGCGTTTATCCCCGATGTGGGCGCGTCGCGCCACATGCCCGTCCCAGGCACCGGACCCGCAGATGAGGCCGGTGGCCGCCTCGCAGACCGCTTCGGGTCCCTCTGAATCTACGGCTCTCAATCATCTTACCCCGCGCCCTGTGGGATGTTTTGTCACCTTCCCCCGCGAGAGGCGGCCTCAGGGCTCCCTACGATAACTAAGCAAGTAGACCCACGGGAAAACGGCATTAGTAGGCCCACGGCAAAGGGCAAAAGGAGGATCTCGACGAACTGCATCAGATAGGTATGACTGAACAATGCGGCAGGTGATCTTCGTTAGGCCAAATCAGGTCATGCGAGTCACACGGCAATTCATATACGGGTACGAGACACGTGACCTGCGAAAAGTCAGGTGAAACGGGCGAAGACGATCGTTACGTTGGCCGCGTCCGACTACATCAAGGGCAGGAACTAAGCTATCTTCATCAATGCATGCATGTGCATGGGCTTTTCGGCCCAGGCAGCATTACAATGATACATGCAGCATTGCAATGGGGAGCAACAGTGTTAGAAACGACTTTCAAAGCCGTGGCACATAAGTCAATAAGTTTTAAATTATGGGACGTTTTGTGGGTCAAATCTGGTTACAAATGTGAAAGTTCGACCTAGAATACTTTGGATGACCTGACCTTGTAAGAGCCGCCAGGAAGATATTGGTGCACTCAAGAGCGAGATAGATGAAATAATTGTCCAGAAAACCTCTTTAAAGGCTTTTCTTGCGAGAAATACACTTAAGTTGTCTTTTTTGGGCAAAATGTCGCCGGTATGACCTCGAGAAAAAATTAGAGCATGAGCGTCGTAGAAGGAAGTTTCGACTTTCACAAACGCGTAAAAATCATGTAAACTTAGCACTTCATAATTCTAGCTGTGTGCTCAAAACAGTTCAGGGGTTCGGAAAACTTAAATGAGGCCTTTGAGGTCACGTACCTCCTACGCGTCCTTTGGCCTTGAGCGGAGCGCTGACAGGCTGTCCTGGCATTTTAAAAGCTCCCAGACTTTTTCGAGCCATTTCGCACCAAGTTAACCGTACGTCATCTGGGGCTGTTTGACCGTCCTTACAAACATTGGCTGCATTTCAGCCTCTGGCCCGTCTTAGCACCTTTCGACTAGAGGAGAGCCATTGCGCTCATTGACCTACGGTCAAAAAAGAAATCTGACATTCTGATGCCGTCACCACCAATGCTTGAGTACCGTGAGGAAAGTGAGGCGCTCTGTTCTCAACACAGATGGCCAAGGATAGTGCACAGTGATACCAGTGCAACACGCCCCGTGATGACGGCTACGCTCGTCCCGTGTGTGTGCAAACCAGCTGGCCCGGCGAGCGCTTGGGTGCGAAATTACAGCTCGCTGCACCCGTCGTTCACGAAATGTTATGAACTTCCACAGTGAACGTCACAGGCAAGCGCTGCGTGAATACTTTCAAACCACGCTAGGTAGCATATCACGGTACGCTTTCCCTGTTAGTTACTTATCGGGACTCTGATAAAAAGCCAAAATGTCCCGCCCTGGTGGGAGATATTGGTCATAGGGTGGAGAGCAGCGCCGGATGTGGATACGTGGCCCAAGAGTCGTCCAGTGCATCTATCTCGCGAAGAAGTGCGTGTCCGCCCGGCAGCTGTCAACATCAGTGCGCCGTTTTTGGTGACTTCAGATCGCTCTGACATCGGTGCAGCCCATCCAATCGATCTGTGGTATTAGGGGCGGCACCATGGGTCTTACGTTAGGTGGCCATGATTTTCTAGGGGGCCTCGTGGACAGAGCGGGGCCTACTCTGGGGTTGCCCCTTTGCAGAGTCGTATACAAGGGGGAGAGTCACTGAGGACATGTGCCCCATTATCATACTGTTAGGTACATGCATCATATTCTTAAAAAGGGTTTCAATAATTTAACAAATTGGGATGGGGCTCTGATTTTTCAGCGAAGAGTATCGCTGTCCTAACATGGGGCCTTTTGTTCCAAAAAGGGCCTCCTAATCCTGAGCAGGATGCTTTCGATTCACGAAGGGGGGCCTCCAAATCTAGCCAAGGGACCTGGTGATCCCAAAACAGGACATCCTGATCGGGAACTGCGGTCATCTGATACATGAAGGAAAGCGGTGTGTCGTTCTGCTGTCAATAAATATCATCCAAATCAAGCATGACGTTTGATTCCAAGGACATTTACGGCTAGCCGGCTTCCAGCAGGTAGCTCGTTGATATGATCAGTTGGTTGCTGATGACTAATGTAGAGGTTTTTCTTTGACTGTGATGAAGGAGTACAAAATATTTCGGCATTCAAATTGTGTCCAGAACGTAAAGCGCAAGTAAAATACGTAAAACAAACTAGATATCCGACGGAAATAATCTATACGACATGGGCGGCGCGTAAAAAAAATTATGTTCAGCAATCGCTAAGGCCAAGGCGTCTAGGAAATTCGTCATCGCGTAGATCTCGGCCTTGTGTGGGTGAAGTAATGTAGCCAGGCCCGTGCGCACGAGCGGGCGGAACGCCCTGGCGACCGCAAAACACGTGTGGCTTTCGGCAACAGAGGAACTGAGATGGGCCCAAGCAACAGCGCAGGGCCTTCTGAGCAAGTGGAAAGAAACCGGGACTAATGTGAACGGTTCCTGAGCATCCGAGAGCATCCTAACAGGTTGACGTAAGGGCCCCGCAATAGGGTGCAGACTCTTACAGAGCCTGTCGGGCGAATTGGAGGACTCCTTGGAGGGCTCTCCGTGGAGGGCCGTGGAGGTGTCGATCAAGATTGTTCCGGTATGTTACCGCATACATAGTGCCCCAACAGCAGCGTAAGACCCTCCGAGAAAGATGCAAATGGATCAAAGGCAACATGGAAGGCTCTTTAGCGGTCAAATTGACCCGGCAAATGGTTACATAGGGCTCCGCCATCAGTGTAGGGCCTCCGGACGGTGTCATGTCTCACTCAATCCCCACCTTCTCAATTAGCAAAAGCTATTTTCGCCAGCTCACCGGCCCTTTTCTTTTGCTTGCGACTGTTCTTGGTCGCCGTGAGGCCAAAGATGTCCAATTTTGTCGTGCGTTGTGTTAAAAACTGTGTCTGTTCGGCCGGCTATAGGCCCTTTCGGGGCCTATGGGTCTCTTCGGAGCCACTGGGCCTCTTCAGGGTCCAAGGAGGAGAGGCAATGCCCCTTGCCCCGCCTCTTCTGGATCCGCCCGTGGCCCGAATAGCTTGATACGCACTGGGATGAAGGCTCCATTTGACCCCTCCGCAAATGGTTTTTCAGAATAATTTGCAAGAGGCGCGGTGTAGCCGCGTCAAACTTTGCGCAGCTGTAGGCAATTGAGTAGCGGATCCTTTGGTATCAAACATTATTTGTACCTTGAAAGGTGGTTGACCTATGGCAGGCCAAAGTCAGGCCTTGGCAATCAGCGAAGGCAATTTCTGGGGAATCATTCAGTCTGATGCAACAACGGAGTGTTAGACAAAGCCCTATATCTCTGCGGTAATGTCTGATACAATTGGAAAAGTTGTTTTAGGATGATGACAACTTCTATTGAACTTGGGTCAGTTAGATATGTTGGTCAAGCTGAGCTCAAAACCAACCTGCTATTTTACTTAAGGCCCTGCTTTAAGAAGTAACGTGTGGTCCTCTTTTCGAATTTTGTCATAAAAGAGACCACGTCAGATATCTTAACTGGACTTACAAAAGGTCAGAGAAGGTCGCTGACCTAGAATGACCCAGAGTAACCATTGGCTTTTAGGAGCACACCACCCAGCATAATCCTTGACGCTTATCGAAATTCCCAAATCAAAGCGTTCCCCTGGGTTGTTAGTCACCGACCCTCTTAAGATCGACAAAGGTCACTAACTTAAAGAGAACGCTGGTGACCTTTTGCTCAGAACAGGTATGTAAGTTTTATGGCGGCTGCATGAGGACGTATCGGAACACATTGGACAACCAATTGAAGTGTTTCTTGTTTGGCCTCATTTGAACCCAAAGGTCATCATGACCTGGGAGCCTCGAACTTTGACGCAAGTGAGCTTACATACAGGTCAATCCACCCTGGGTATTTAGTGCATGTAGCTCTCTTAGCCGTCAAATTGACCGCCACCCGAGCAAAGGGTATTCAACCGGCCATCCGGGCGCGTGTTGGCAGATAGGCCCCACCGACAACAGCGTAGGGCCTCCAAGCAGATAGGAAGTACGCATGACGCAATAAGAAGGGCTCGAACGATCGAGTGTGCCCGAGTAGGTTTACAGATGAGGATCCCTGTCAGGAGTGTAGTGCCCTCCATTCAAACAGGAAGTACCCAAGATCCAACGTGGAGGGCTCCAAACGATCGAATGTGCCCGAGCAAGTCAGCATATAGGCCCCCGATAAGAGTCTAGGGCCCTCCGCAAGTGACGGTAATTTGGCAGGGCTCTACACCATCATACACCACCATCGTATGGACGGCAGGGTAGGGCCCTCCGAGAAAATGAAAGAAATCAGGGGCGGCGTGGAAGGCTCCTTAGCGATCAGATTCCCCGGCAATTGGACACGTAAGGCCCCGGTAACAGCGTAGAGTCTCTGGACAACGTCAGGAGCCTTCAGGCCTCCCCAATTACCACCCTCTCGATCACAATGAGCGAACAATTATTTTATGTGGAGACTTGACATGAACTTTGGTAATTTACGGGTGGCTATAATGCCCTTATTGCGGGAAAATGGCTTGTCAAAAAATTTAGAGGGCAAAACACGCTCTTGCCCCTTCTCCCCTTAATGGGGCACCCCCGAGGTATATGCATGCGCGTGTGGGTGGCAGCGC